ATAGCTGACTTGAAATCACAATATATATAATTATTTCAAACTATAGAAAAAAAATTAGTAAATATAGTAACAATGTTTGAGTAATTAGGTAGTTTTTTCCAATATAATAATAGAGTACTAAAATTGAACACATCTATTAGTAGTATAACATATGCTTAGTTGCTCGGCTACCTAAACTTTCACCTACCCCTTATTGGTGTGTATTCAATTTCCCACATCACCTTCACCTTATTGGTGCGGATTTAATTTCCCACATCGTAAACCCCTAAATTTTGTTAAAAAATGCAAATACCTGGTGGCAATGACTCTATCTCCAACAGTAAATTTCCCAGTCTTATCAGCTGAACCACCAGGAGCAATAGCATCAATGTAAGTTCCTCCATCTCTACCTTTAGTAAATTTAAGTCCAAAAGGCTGAACAATCTCAACTTCATACTCTTCATACTTGTCTTCTTCTTTTTCTGACTGAGTTGCCTCTGTTTCTGAAGCTTTAACCATAAAGATTGAAGCTTTACCTAAATGGCTACAAAAATTGCTGCTAAAACATAATTGATTCTTGATTTTAATCAAAGAAGAAGAAGAAGACGAAGGGGAAAATGGGGTTTTTTGGTTGTTTTGGTTGAGTTTAAGTAAAGAACAAAGTGAAGTGTAGCTAATGGTGGAAGCCATTGATTCTTGATTTTGGTTTTGCCTATTCTTGAATTTTCTCCTTCAACAAAGTGATCATTCAAGATTTTGTGTTGATGCTAAAGGATTGTGACTAGTGGCTCTAATAGCCTCTTCAATTTTCACTTCCAATTTGTGGTGCCACATCCACCAAGTTTGATGCTTTTTTTTTTTTTTTTACTTCAATAAAATAGCATATACCAAAAAAAATAAATATGTAGAAACTATGTTAGAAATAATAATGGCACAATATGTAAATACCCTTGTTAACTTTACTTCAATTGACATCTATGCTTTTCTACTTTGAATGTGTACATTATATAAAATTGAACAAGTATACACATACGTTCTACATGACATAATTCATGTCGAATGCCACTTAAGATACAAAATTGCCATGTAGGACGCCAAATTAAATGGCGTATTTATGTATTATAACAATAATTATTATTAAACATACTAGGGGAAAATATTGCCATAATGCATAAACATACCTTTTAACTTTGTGTCTGTATAAATAAACACTTAAACCTGTATAAATTGTACAAATAGACACAATCGTCCTATGTGACATCTTATATGAAAATTTTGTGTCCTATGTGTCGTCCAACATGAATTATGTTATATAGGACGCATGAGTCTATTTGTTCAATTTTATACAAGTTAAAATGTCTACTTAAAATTAGATGACATAAATACCAACTGAAATTAAATTAAAGGATATATTTATGTCTTATGCCGAAAATATAGTATCTAGCATATATTTGCAAGTATAAACAATGTAACAGTGAGTTGTCATGAAATATAAATCAACTATGGGTGTGTTGGTGGTAGGAAAGGAAGTGGAAAACAAGTTGGTTCTTACTTATTTTTTGGTATTTGATATATAAGTAAAAGTTATTATTCTAAAAATATTCATATATATTGAAGATAAAATTATGCGGATGAGGTAGGATGATGGGTGTTATGACTTATGGTGCGGCAGATAAAGAAATTATAAAAGCTATGCTTGTCAATCGAATAGGTGATTTTGGATTGTTTTACAATGATGGAGGGCAAGGTTGTATTATTTGGGTTGGTGGTGTGGTGGGTGGTCGCGAGGATGGGAGGAGACAACACAACTTATGTTTTTCTATTTTTATTAGAGAAGTTATTTTCTTATTTTTAAGAAGCTTGTTTTTTTAAACAAAATATTTGCCAAATTTTTTAACAGCGAACACACCCTATATGTATTTCTTAACTTCCAAACAATTGAAAAATCATAAGTTTTTAAAATAATTTGAACAATAAGTAATTAATGTTGAAGATAAAATAAATAATAATAATAATCCTTTTTTAATATATTAACAGTATATATAAAAATATATTTGCATAATATTTGTATCTTTGGTTCAATGAGAAAATGAGTCAAATTCTACCTAATTGTACCACTCATTTTGCTAAATTTTAGAGGAATACTAATAGAAAAGAATAAGTCAACATAATTAGAATAATTAATTAATTAATTAACCAAAGAAGAAGTAAACAAAAAGTAGAGGAAATGCTAAAATATAGTTAAAAATATAAGGAGAGCCACACATATAATGTAGGTAGTTAATAAAACATTTAGTATAAATTCCATCAAGGAGAATGTATCAAATGCAAGCTCTAGCAACTAAAAAAAGGAAGCAAGAAGAAGATATTTCCCTCTTCTTCTTTGTCAGAATTAAATAAAATTCCCCCCCAAAAAAATATCCATATATTAAAAAAAAAGGTTGTAATTGGGGAAAAAAATATGGAGAGAACTAGTATCACAGTTGTGTCTTTGCTAGTTTGCCTTACATTTGTGTTGGTTAAAGCTGAGGATCCTTACCTTCGTTTCGAGTGGAATGTTACTTATGGAACTATCGCTCCATTAGGGGTCCCACTACAAGGGATCCTTATAAATGGACAACTTCCAGGGCCTAGGATCAATTGTACGTCGAATAACAACATCGTTGTAAATGTATTCAATCATTTAGATGAGCCGTTGTTGTTAACATGGAACGGTGTTCAACAAAGGAAGAATTCGTGGCAAGATGGTACCCCGGGTACTATGTGTCCAATTATGCCTGGTACAAACTTTACATACAGGTTCCAGGTGAAGGATCAAATCGGTAGCTTCTTCTACTTCCCAACAACAGACTTGCATCGCGCTGCTGGTGGTTTTGGTGCTATAAATGTTCATAGTCGTGCACTTATCCCAGTTCCATTTGACAACCCCGCGGATGACTATAGTGTGTTTGTGGGTGATTGGTATAACAAGGGGTATAAGTCATTGAAGAAGATATTGGATGGAGGAAGGACAATTGGAAGGCCCGATGGGATTCACATAAATGGAAAATCTGTAAAGGTTGGTGACAAAGCTGCGGAGCCACTATACAAGATGGAGGCTGGTAAGACGTATAGGTATAGATTTTGTAATGTCGGTATGAGGACATCAGTGAATGTTAGGATCCAAGGACACCCGATGAAGTTGGTGGAAATAGAAGGATCCCACACAGTGCAGAATGTATACGAGTCACTTGACCTTCATGTTGGTCAATGCCTATCGGTGTTGGTGACTGCTGATCAAGAGCCAAAGGACTATTACATGATTGTTTCGAGCAGATTCTTGAAGCAAGCTGAATTGTCCTCTGTGTCTATCATCCGATACACAAATGGAAAGGGACCAGCATCTTCTGATCTCCCAGCACCACCACCAGAAAACACTAAAGGCATTGCCTGGTCCATGAACCAATTCCGGTCTTTCAGATGGAACCTTACTGCTAGTGCTGCCCGTCCCAACCCTCAGGGATCATACCACTATGGACAGATCAACATCACTCGCACTTTCAAGATTGTAAACTCAAGGAGTGAAGTTGATGGAAAGCTTAGATACGCGTTGAATGGTATCTCCCACACTGATTCAGAGACCCCATTCAAGCTAGCTGAATACTTTGGAGCTACTGATAAGGTGTTCAAGTATGATCTCATGGATGACGAACCATCAACGTCATCAGACAAGGTAACCGTTGCCTCAAATATCAAGAATGCAACATTCCGTAACTTTGTTGAGATCATCTTTGAGAACCATGAGAAGACCATCCAAACCTATCACTTGGATGGATATTCCTTCTTCGCAGTTGGGGTTGAGCCAGGGAAGTGGACTCCTGAGAAAAGAAAGAACTACAACTTAGTCGATGCCATAAACAGACACAGCATCCAAGTCTATCCTAACTCATGGGCCGCGGTCATGACCACACTTGACAATGCAGGACTATGGAGCTTGAGATCAGAAATGTGGGAGAGGTTCTACTTAGGACAACAACTATACTTTAGTGTTCTCTCACCAGCTCGCTCGTTGAGAGATGAGTACAACCTCCCTGACAACCACCCTCTTTGCGGTATTGTTAAGAGTATGCCAATGCCTTCTCCATACAAGGCATAGATCGTCATACATTACATTCGAGGGGATCATATCTAAAATATAACAACAACACCTTGATTTTTCGCCTTTCTTAAATCATGTATTCTTTCTATTTACATTCTTTCTTATAATAAAACTTAAGTCAAGGCTTTTCCCCCTCCATATAATCTTGTCAAGTGTCAAGAAATTGTAATTCGAGATGATCGATACATTAAAGAGCTGCATTTTATGTACTACAATCTCTGCTGCATTACAACTTATATAAGGCTCGTTTGGTAGAGTGCATAGTTTACATCTTTACGAGTTGTAAAAATAAACCGTTAATTCGTGCTCTTCCTCTGTACTAGATATATATACAGCTCAACTTTCCAAATATAACTGAAAGATTGAATCCTCTTTGTTTCTTCTGTGTGCGCTTCTTTATATTTTGAACCCCATTTAGTAAAAATTCTGACTCCGACACTGCAATAGCTGTGCCAGTTACTTGATATGTCTCACTCATGAACATTATATGCTGGTTAATTAACATATGTTACTTCTGTTTCCATAACTCAGAGAACATCAATCACTTTCCTACATTGTCAAACTATCAACTTGTTCATGTTGCACCTGTGTCATATCCTTAAAAACAGACTACTTTCGAAGGATCTGATGCACACCAGTCGATATTTTTAAAGAGTCCAAACAACATAAGTCAAGAAAGCCTATGATAGCGCGCTGTTTACCTATGCACCTTTATAATGATAACACCTTTATTTTTTTTAAACAAACTAAATAAATTGAAACGAAACGAGTATATATTAACCAAAAGAAGAATAAAAAGTACATGTCATGTGTCACAAAGATCTCAATTTGTTATTGGATAACAAAACAACTTTCAAAGACAATTCAGGCTTCGAACACCGAGTGGGAAACCGAATCAAATCCTCAACACATTATTAGATAACAAGACAACAAATCCCAAAATCTTGTTTAAAAGCCACTAAGAATCTCTCTAATACACATTGGAAAAAGTGGATTAGTTTTGCTATAACCTCCATCAATCATTAAGTTTAATCCACTTACATACTTAGACTCATCACTTGCCAAATAAACAGCAGCAGCAGCAACATCTTCTGCTTCTAATTTTGCTTCTTTCAAATTAGCTGATTTCGTAAGTGCTTCATCTACTTTACTTTGATCAATTCCACCAACAAAATTAGTTAACATTGGTGTAGCCACAACATGTGGTGTAATGCAATTTACTCTTATACCATATTGTCCTAATTCCACGCACAAATTGTTCGATAGCCCGATTACCGCGTGCTTAGACGACGCGTATGTGTGTGAAGACATCCCGGCTACAACAGCTGTCACACTCGCCGTGAAGAGAATGACACCTTTTTTAGCCGGGATCATCACTCGAGCCGCGTGTTTGGCGCCTAGAAAGGCGCCAAACACATTGATGTCAAATACTTTTTTCAGGTTTTCGTAGTCCGTTGTAGTAATTCCTAAAGATATACTTCCTGTAATGCCTGTATTTACGAGTGACAAAATTAGCTCATGAAAATTTCACCTTCTTAATCAGCTCATTTATTAACTCAATCCATCTTGACAGATAAATTGAAAAAAAATCCATGACAATAACTATTCTTTTGTCAAAAATATTTGCATAATTTTTTTAATATGTAGCTATAATAATTAAAATTATTAGAAAAACAAATAAATAAACTAACGCTTAGTAAAAATTAGGCAGGTTGGACTATCCATTATTTAGCCCGTCTTGGCCCAACTAATTTTTGGGCCAAGTTAAATAACGACATTCATTTATCGATTTAATTCATTTAAATTCATTCAAATTCAGTTTAAACCGTTCATTTGACATACATACCTGCATTGTTGTACATTATATCAATCTTTCCATGCTTTGACACTACAAAATCTATGGCCTCCTCTACTTGTTTTTCAATAGTGACATCGCAATGGACGTACGAGATGTGTTCTAGCCCGATTTCGTCGCAAAATGAAAGGCCAAGATCATCTTGAACATCAAGAATTACAACTTTAGCACCATTTTTGACAAACAATTTTGCAGTAGTAGCACCAATTCCACTTGCACCTCCAGTAATAACTGCTACTTTACCATCTAGCCTGAAAAATTACAAAAAATAGAAAAATTACATTTATAGCCTATTTGGCTAAGATTTGAAAAACTAAAAATACTTATTTTAAAGAGTCGAGGTGTTTTAACCAAACTTCAAAAAGAATTAAGTGTTTTGTGATCAGTATTAGCAATCAGAGCCGAAATCAAGATTTGAATTTATGGTTCGAAATTCTAGTTCATTCGAATTACTGAATTTTAAAATTAATAATTTATGACTATTCAATAGATTTCTTGAGACAAATATAGAATTGTAACCAAAGTTACTGAATTATTAGTAAGAGTAATTTTTTTAAAGTGAGAGTGCAGAATTCTAAACTCCATTTCATAGATACATATAGAATTCTGCGAAAAAGTCGTATTCGATGAAAGTGATCACTACATACATACCTTTTGGCTGATGTAGAGACTGAATTGCTATTGGTTGCCATTTTTTAAAGACAAAATTCAAGAAAATAATGACTTCACAAAGTATTTTTTGAATCTCTTTGATGTGTTAGTGTTTTAATGTCTTAGTTCCAATTTGATTGAGCTTTATATATATAGTGTGAGAGTATACTATTTAATAAAATGAAAAAAATAATTCAAATACTAAATATTAAAAAATATTTGAAAATAAGTTTGATTAGAGAGTGTAGGAGTTATTATTTGACTACTTGAAAGTCTAATTGGTCTTTCTTGGCTGCTAATTGTTTCTTATCTTTTTTCTAATGGCACATTTTTCTAAAACGTAATATTTAATGATGATTTATATTATTTTAGTATATTGAAAAAAATGTAGCACATCATCTGCAAGGTCAAAATAGGCAACTATTTTAAAATTAATTAAGTATTGTGGCTTTGATTGACTATTTAGTTAAATTTGGAGAGTTGGGTTCTACTCTTATTGACATTCTTTTAATTTTGTACAAAAGATGTATGTCATAGAAAAAAATGGAACAATTTTGGGAAGACCGAAGATTATTTTCGAAAGATTCTTTTAAAAATATGCAAATAGCGGGGTAACTTTTTTCTCTCTTCCTTCCTTTTTTGTTTGTTTCAAATAATGTTCAAAAACAATGATTTATAAGATTTTTCAAGGTAAATTTAGAACTCAGGACTCGTTAGCCATGGTTTGAAATTAGTAATATGAAATAAGATTGATTTGAAGTTGAAGTGTTGTTTGAACAGGCAATTTAAATTTCTTAAGTTGCATTTTTTTTTTGTCATAAACATGAAAAAACCTATAAGTTGTGAAAAGTGAAAACTATCAAAATATTTGCAATTCTTATACACTTTTACCAGATGAACAAACTATAGTTCATAAATAAGATATCTGAATATCTAGGCGCCGAATTGATAAATCACATATCTCAATGTCCCTTTTATAAATAAATGTTTGTGATTACAAACTTGTAGACGTTCAATAAATATCAATAATCTTCAAGAATAGTTTTAGAAGAATGATATTAGAGATCATCCTCGATCCTTAATAAGTCTGACATCAAGTAGACAATCTATTTTCACTTTTAATTCTTGATAGCCCATTACCCCATTAGTTTACCTAAATTTTATTTTTTATTTTTTATGCTCTATAATTCTATAGTGAAGCTCGAAGTTGGATTCATCTTGCATGAACAACAATCATTTTTCTTGATTATCTCTAAAATGTCTTTTAAAAGCGAGATATTCAAACTATATCTTGACACTATTATCAATGTTAAATTTTATTTTCAATTTCATAACTCTGAATTTAATTCTAAAATAGCTAAATATTTTATAATATTTTACTACTATCTTAAATATAGATCATTTAAAATCTTTACACTTTAACCCATCCCCAAAATTCAATAATGTGTGGTAGTTGGTACAATATGTCAACGTGAATGAAAAATTTAGAGAAAATAGGAGCATGCTGTAATTAGATTAGCCTAACAACTATTCTAGTTTCTATAAATAGTTTAGAATAGCTTAGAATTAGAGGCGATAAAATTAATTCATGAAAATAATATGCGGTCAATTTAATGAATAATTCTTTCATTTACCGATTTAATCTATTTTGACTCACTCAATTTATCATAAAAAACAAATTGATATGAAATCTGAATTGATCCACTAGAAAACTGTGAAAGCTTTTCAAAAGGGCATTCACAAAATGATCCAACTTAGACTATTTTTATTAGGTAGTTAAAAACTATATATATATATATATAAAATAATTAAAATTTGGAAAGAATGGAGCGAATTAGATTCTATCCGTTTTTTAAAAATATTTTGACGAGTTATTAACCTGTTCATTTATTGACTCAATTATTTTAACGTGTTATTAGTCTTTTCATGTGAAAATATATTATATCTTTTTCAAATTTTAAATAATAGTACAAGTTTAATATAACACATATATAACTAATGGTGAATAATATAATTGCTCTTGGTAAATTGGTAAGATTCACAAACAAATGGATCAATAGTGCATGTTTCAAGTAATGAAAAGTTAAATATATTAAATTAAATATTATAAGGACTAAAACATAAATGAAATTATCAAAAACTGAGGAATCAAAAGTGCTATTAATTAAAAAAAGATTTCAATTGATCACATGGAGCTATAGTTCAAGAACATAATTAACTAGATAGCCGATTGATTTGTAAATACTTACTTGCATCCGAAGTTGAACAAATCTACCTCCCTTCACAAAAATAGTGAAATTCAGTGACAACGTAGTTTATCCCGATATCTTTTCCTCGAGAGAAAGCACTTCGTTTTAATCAAGTTTATTGTTAATTAATCTATCAATTGGAATTAAGCTTCAATCGCGATTGCTTGTCATTTCTACATGTTAATTAATCAAAGAAAAATGCTAAAGAATTGTATACATATATTATATATTTATTAACTTGACGTAAACATCAAATACAAATAAACTTTTAACTAATTGAATTAGCTCTTATTCCTTCTACTCTATAATAGTATCTAAATAGCTACATCATATTGTGTACAGTAAAGTTAGGCAGCTAATTAATAAAAGCTGACTAAATTATTTCCCATTATTAGTTAATAAACTATAATTAAGTGATTATTTTCCTTATAAATACTCGAACCAAAAAGTTATTATGCCATCACAAAAATAAAAGGTGATACAAAGGCATCAAAAAGCAAAATGGACAAGAGTTCATGTGTATTTTCTCCAAATAGAAGGTGAAAAAAATATCTTTCTTTCATTAATTTTTTGGGGTTAAAATAGTATAGTATTTTTTTTAGTATCATTTACTAAGCTTGGCATAATTAAGTAACTAAAAATTGTTCTTATACATGTATATATTATAATGATATCAGAGCAGTTAGAGATTATGTTTAAATCTAAAATAAATATTTTATTGGTATATCAGTGCACGTAAGTTAAATCTCGAAAGTCGTTTTTTTCAGGTTGGAGGGAAAGGTAGCTATTATCACTGGTGGTGCAAGTGGTATCGGAGCGACTGCGGTCCGAGTCTTCATTGAGAACGGTGCAAAAGTTGTCATCGCGGATATTCAAGATCTCGAGGGTGAAGAAATCTCAACCAATCTAGGCGAAAATGCCCATTACGTTCATTGCGATGTCTCGAAAGAAGACGACGTAAAAAATTTAATCGACGCTACGATTTCAAAATTCGGTCATCTCGACATAATGTACAACAACGCTGGCATTTACGACACGACGATAAAATCCATCATGGACACGGAAATCGATGACCTAGAGCGTAAAATCGCGGTAAATTTAATCGGATCTTTTTTAGGCGCGAAATATGCGGCGAAAACAATGGTACCACGTAAAAAAGGGTGCATTTTGTTTACAACAAGTTGTTGTACACAAGTGGCTGGAATTGCATCACACACTTATGTTGCATCAAATTATGGAATTGTAGGTATGTGCAAAAATTTGGCTGTTGAATTAGGGTTGCATGGTATAAGAGTTAATTGTATTTCACCTTTTGCTATATTGTCAAATACTAAACTTAATAATGAAATTGGAGCAATATATGAAGGAATGATGGGTGCAATAGGGAATTTAAAAGGGGTTAATCATAACAAAGAAGATGTAGCAAATGCTGCTGTTTTTCTTGCTAGTGATGAAGCAAAATACTTAAGTGGACATAATCTTGTAATTGATGGAGGATTTAGTGTTGTTAATCCTAGTTTTCTCAAGATTATGGAGCAATATCAATAAGTGTTATTTAAAAAAATATGATGAATAAGAATGTTGTCGAGGGATTTTCGGAAACAATCTCTCTATCTTTACGAAGTAGTGATAAAGTATGTGTACACTATACCCTCTCCAAACTATGTTATTGTTGTTGTTGTGTTTTAAGAAGAATAAGAAAGGTTGAAGAGGTGGTGTAGCTAGAAATTTTAATAAGGGAATTCAGAAAACTCGAATTATTAGTGTATCATGGTCTATTTGGACATGGTTTTACTATATACTTGGATTTGTTTAATTGTAAAGATAGACTATTTTTTAGTTTCTTTTTTGATGTAATAGTACTTTATAATATGACATGATTTTGATATTAATTCTTATGCTTAGTGCTCATGTTGCTAGGAATTTATTTGATAATAATTTTATTGCTAGTGTGAATGCTTTATTTGAATTATTGTGATGGGAATGGAGAATTATTAAGGCAACTTGACATGAATACTTTATTTTTGGATATTCATTTTGTAATAAGAAGAATAAGTAGCACCAACTTGACTTATGGGATCAAAATTAAAAATTCAAAATAACTAAGTCGATTAATTCATAAATCGAATTTAAGAAAATCGATCCAATTCAATCTTCTGTGAATTAAATTTGAATTGTAATTCTTGAATCGAAAAATAAAAAATTTATATCTAAATTTTCATATTCCATCTGAACGACCACCCCTAATCATTGTTTCACCTTTCAAATTCATGGCCTATATTTAAATAGCGCAGACCTAATTGTTATAAGCAATATGTTAGGAAAGGTGTCTACATACCTAATTACCTAAATTAATTACATATTTGCTAATTAAGAAAGTCAGCTTCCAATAATTGGAAGTATTTACAAATTAAATAGTTGCACAAGTAATTATTATTAATTAAAAACAATTAATTATAAGATATATCCTAATTAGAAAACAAGTACTAATTAATAAGAGCCATTGGACTAGTACTAGTACCATTCTCCCTAACAAGTAATCTTCCTCATTTTCAAGCACTCAAAGAAGAATTCCATGGCCTCCAATGCTAAAAGGTATGTTTTAATTTGTTTGTCATGTTTTTCTTAATCTTGACCATATCTTCTCAAATACAATTGTTCTTATTAGTTTGTGAACACTTCGATTATATCAAATTTATTAAAATTGCCTGATCTTTAATCGATTGTCTAGTTGTACCCCTAAGCCCCTTTCGCCTATGTTGTCTCAGTCTTGAATAGAGTCCATTACCTAGTTTTCTTTGTTTAAACGAGACAATTGGATATCCTTTCATCTCAATTTGAATATAATAAGAGTGAAAAAATCTTTGAGGTTTTCAACAAAAAAATTGATAAAGTTATAATAATCAGACCAAATTTGGAATCTTAAATTTGCCACTACCACTAAGTTATCCTACTATTGATCATGAGTACACATATCTTTTGTACTCTATCGCAACCAAAACTTAGACGATTGAAAGACTTCACCTAATGTATTTTATTTTTTTTACTTTTATTTGAAGAGAGTTGACCTTTAATGTTGCTCTAATGATCATATTAAAGCACAATCGTATAAAATCGATCACATGTTCGATTGTATCAGGCTAGAGGGTAAAATTGCTATCGTAACAGGAGGTGCTAGCGGAATTGGTGAAGCTACAACAAGACTTTTCATCAAACATGGTGCAAAAGTCGTAATTGCGGATATTCAAGACGATCTTGGTCAATCCATCATTCAAGAAATAGGCGAAAATGATGTCATCTCTTACATGCATTGTGATGTTAAAGTGGAAAAAGATGTCGAAAATGTAGTGGACATGACGGTCTCTAAGTACGGTAAACTTGACATCATGTTCAGCAACGCAGGAATTTCTGAAGAACTCGATTCCACCATCTCAAAAATCGACTACGAAATTTTCAAAAACGTATTTGATGTGAACGTCTTTGGGGCTTTAATGTGCGCCAAACATGCATCTCGTGTGATGATTCCGGCCAAAAAAGGTAGCATTATATTCACATCGAGTATTGCGTCCGTTATGTGTGCCGGCGCGTCGCACACGTATTTGGCATCGAAACATGCCGTGGTAGGTCTAGCCAAGAACTTAGGTGTTGAATTAGGGCAACATGGAATTAGGGTTAATTGTGTTTCTCCATTTTGTGTGCCAACTCCAATGTTAAAGAATGGTCTTGGAATTGATGAAAAGGAAAAGATTGAGGAATTTGTGTGTGAAATTGCAAATCTTAAAGAGACAATATTGGACGTTGAGGATGTTGCACAAGCAACATTGTATCTTGCTAGTGATGAATCAAAATATATAAGTGGGATGAATATTGTGATTGATGGTGGATTTAGTACTACAAATGTTGCTCTTAAGCAAGGCATTACCATGTTCCGTTCTTAAATATAATATTTATTTTGATTTGTTACTGAAATTTTATCGTATCTCTAATAAAACTGCTATTATATGTAATGATATGGTGAAAAGAATCATGAAATACCAATTTGATGTGGTGACATCATTATGTTATTTTTCTTTCCCATTACACCTTTAGTTTACTCATAATTTCATAATCTTATTTTCTATTTGCCTTGGTATTATTCTACCTTTTTTTTCTTTCTCCAGTTAATAGAGATTTTTTCTCCGCATGTGATTGAATTCCTATGTGAAGTTTTCATAAAACTTTAATAGATATTTCACTTGATGCTCACATAACGTATACAAATTATTTATCTATATGAATAACGTGCATTATTAGCATTGTACTAATTTGGATCTAGTCCATCATGTGTAAAGTGAAAAATGTCAAATATTGAGATTGAATCGCGATGTGGCACTCCAACTCGACCCGTTTAGAAAGACAAAATGGATTTGGAGCAATTTTTCAACATCAAATCTAAAAAATAAATGATATTATTGATAGATCTAGACAATTCTTTTTTCTATTACGATTATTATAACATTGTGTCATGTACTAGTTGTTGGACCTCAATTATTTGAAACATCTAATTAACTATATTAATTACTCAATTATTTGCGGGCAATCAACTAATCAAGATTGACAGCTATCGCAGATCTCATTGTACCGTATAAAATAAGCAAATTTATGATCTACCTATAGCTGTCAAAGATCTAATATTTTAAAGGATTTAATTAACTTATTTAATGCTACACTTAGAAGTCAACTTTCAATTGGATGTTAACACTCTCTACACTCATTTTTATTTGTCTAGTATTGAACTAACACATCTTTTAAGAGGCAAGAAAATAGAATAACAACTTTAGAAAACAAGTATAGTTAATAATAAGGGTAAGTCTAGATGATAAATTATCTTTTGATTATCTAAACTGGACAAATAAAAATAAACATAAATTTTTAATAGGCATAATAAATAAATATGTTTTTTAATTTGGTTTCAACTGACATTAATAAAAAGGACTCTAAGTCCAAATTTAAATGTATTTATTCCTTCAACAATGATTATTTATTTATTAATAGTAACACTTCTTGGAAGCAAAAGAATAAATTATGAAATTATTAATGTACGTGACTATGTAATCTTGTGTGTAAGATAATATAGTGTTTTAGTTTTAATGACTGATAGGTTTTAAGTATTATTTTCTAAATTCCGTGATATTAAATTCTCGCGCGACCTTCAGCTTTGAATGTGAACACGTGGACACTAAAACTTGTATAAAATTGAATAAATAGACACCCGTGTTCTACGTGACATAATACACGTAGGATGTCGTCACGTAGGACAAGTATGTCTATTTATTTAATTTTATATAAATTTTAAGTGTCTACTTGTGTAGACCCAAAGTTAAAAGAACATAGATAGATGTCAATTGATATCAAAGTAAACGAAAGGTCTATGTATTATGTCTTTAAAATATAATAATGAACACTTAAAAACAAAATGGGGGAAGTGATTTTATATCGCAGCACAAAAGATAAGATCCATAACTTTGAAGTGTGGGGGCACACCCATAAATACAATCAACTAGCAAATATATCTCATCTTCCTCATTTTTCAAACACTTGAAGGTGAATTATATTCCATGGCCTCCATCTCCTCCATTGCTAAAAGGTATATACCTTTATGTTGTTATGTTTTCCTTAATGTTGAGCTCATATTGTCCCATTCTAATTGTTCAATTTATTTGTATATCTTTGATGATATTAGGGAGTTCATTTAAACCTTTATTATATGTATACTTCTTAATTTTTTCTTTTATGTATGTTAGCACTCTTTCGGTCCAAATTTATGTGATGATATATTTGATTGATTTAAAAAAGAAAAGAAATATTGTTTTTTTTCTAAAGTTGTCTAAAACTAGTATAGACATTGGTGGAGTAAAATGAAAAGTTTAAATTGTTACTGAATATGACAAAATAAAAGTATGTCCCGTAATTTGAGGTATAAAGAGTATATATATAGTTCAAGTCGAAAGCAACATAATTCTCCTATATTTGCCTATTGTTATTATTGCTTTAATTGTTTGATTGTGTCAGGCTAGAGGGCAAAGTAGCAATCATAACAGGTGGTGCTAGTGGAATTGGTGAAGCTACGACAAGACTTTTCACCAAACATGGTGCAAAAGTTTTGATTGCGGATGTCCAAGACGATCATGGCCAATCCATCATCAAAGAAATAGGTGAAAATAGAGATGTCTCTTACGTACATTGTGATGTGAAAGTGGAAAAAGATGTCAAAAATGTAGTGGACATGGCAATTTCCAAGTACGGCAAACTTGATATAATGTTCAGTAATGCTGGAGTTCCAGGACAACCTGATACCACCATCCTCAAATTAGACTATGAAAATTTCAAAAACGTATTCGACGTGAACGTCTTCGGGGCATTAATGTGCGCGAAACACGCGACTCGTGTGATGATTCCACCCAAAAAAGGAAGCATTATTTTCACTTCAAGCATCGCCTCGGTGACCTATGGTGACGTGGCACACACGTATTTGGCATCGAAACACGCGATAGTGGGGCTAGCAAAAAATTTAGGTGTTGAGTTGGGACAACATGGAATTAGGGTTAATTGTGTTTCTCCATTTGGTGTGGCAACTCCAATGTTGATGAATGGTCTTGGAATTCATGACAAAGAAGAGGTTGAGGAATTTGTGTCACAAATTTCAAACTTGAAAGGGACAATTTTGGAGGGTGAGGATGTTGCACAAGCAGCATTGTACCTTGCTAGTGATGAATCAAAGTATATAAGTGGGATGAATATATTGATTGATGGTGGATATAGTACTACAAATGTTGCTCTCAAACAAGGCATTAGGAAGATTGGTAGTCTTGAATGAGTAATTTTCTTTTTTAGATCAAAAGTGTGAGTTTTATCCTTTGGAAAAAAAAAGTTTGTCCATTTACCTATGAGTGGAACTATTAAAAAATCAAACTATCCCTCAACTTTGAACAATAGATTTATTTGAATGTAATCAAAGTGTTGACAAATTGAAAAAAATGGAGTTACTTAGAAAGTAACATTATTTATAGGGGTATTTTAGAATTTAGAACCTATCAAAGATATTTCTATTATTGAGAGTATCACAACTATTACACTATGTATGACGTAGGTATGTGTGTACTTATTCAATTTTATATAAATTTAAGTGTTTTCTTCTTCATATCCAATGTTATGATAGTTGAGGAAAATCAAATAATTGATATTAGATATGAAACTCTAGAAAAAAAGTGAACCTATCAAAGATGTCCTATTTTTGAAACGGCATGATACATAAACGTGTCTTTTAATTTGAATTTAGCTGTTAATTTATGTCCTTCAACATTGAACGCTCACAAGTAAACACTTAGAGTTATATAAAATAAAATAAATAGACGCATGAGTCGAGGACGAGCATGACATAATGCAAATCATGCATATAATAGTAATACAAATCAGTTTGAATATATCTCACGAGAATTATCATATAATATGTACAACTGAATTCAAACTTAAGGAAACACAAGCAATTGATAACAAATATGAAACTCTCGAAAAAGTGATACTTTAGTATACTCCCTCTGTTCCTTTATAATTATCATATTATGTTTTTCGAGAGTCAATCCAACTTTAACTTTTCAATTAGAGTTAAATTTTCAATTTTTCTTTAGATATTTAGACTCGATAAAATATAATTAAACTTGAAAGGGACAATTTTGGAGGGTGAGGATGTTGCACAAGCAGCATTGTACCTTGCTAGTGATGAATCAAAGTATATAAGTGGGATGAATATATTGATTGATGGTGGATATAGTACTACAAATGTTGCTCTCAAACAAGGCATTAGGAAGATTGGTAGTCTTGAATGAGTAATTTTCTTTTTTAGATCAAAAGTGTGTAAGTTTTATCCTTTGGAAAAAAAAAAGTTTGTCCATTTACCTACGAGTGGAAATATTAAAAAATCAAACTGTCCCTCAACTTTGAACAATAGATTTATTTGAATGTAATCAAAGTGTCGACAAATTGAAAAAAATGGAGTTACTTAGAAAGTACATTATTTATAGGGGTATTTTAGAATTTAGAACCTATCAAAGATATTTCTATTATTGAAAGTATCACAGCTATTACACTATGTATGATGTATATGTCTATTTATTCAACTTTATATAAAGTTAAGGGCCTGTTTGGAAGGACACCCTGGTAATTGGATTTGGTGTAATTGGTGTAATTACACTGTCTTGTCATGTTTGGAAGGACAGGTAATTACTTGGTCAGCAGGTAATTGGTGTAATTGGCAGTGGGTAATTACACTCTACAATTCACAGGCAGAGGTTGTGAATTGCTGGTAATTACATGGTGTAATTACTACCTGATTACTTTTTAATTTCTTTTTTTT